AGCAGTAACAGGATGAAGTTCAATAATTTGTGTTATACTGCAGGTCATGGAAGATGATGCAACACCCCTTCTGATCTCAAAGAGTAGTCATTTAAAAGGAGGCAGACATGGCTAATACTTAGACTAGAGGATGATGTTTAGCACCAAATGATTTTCAGAGGAGGTCTATGTTGATACAACATTAGTATATCCAAATAATAGTCAGTGAGCTGGCAAAGTCTGCAAAGTCCGTCTCTTTATGTTCCTATAAATTATCAGTACTGTTCAAAATACAGAGCTGCTACTATAATTTTCACCTGTGGCCACAACTTTCCAACAAATTCAACAGCTCCTTGAGATCCTCTTACATTTTCTGCCTTAGGAATCATTAGAATTGGTTCATGTACCAGGGCTACCTGACTTTCCTTTATACAAAGATCAGCACATTTGAAATGCTGTAACACAAAGTACATTATATATGTATATATAGGAATTTGTTTTAAAAACAGCCTCTTACCCTCACCTGTGCAGTTCTTATCATAAAAGTAACTTGATCAAGCTTGGAATCAACTCAAAGGAATTTTGCCATAGACAATTTGAATCAAATTAAGTGAAGTCTAGTACAAAAACAGTCTGAAAAGCAATGGAGAGGAGGTTAACAGTACAAGAATATAGACACTGTCAAGTCTGAAACAAAACATTGAGTAATTTTTCATGATGACAAAAAAAAAAAAAGATTCATGCTCCTCTAAAATATCTGTTGCGGTTTGTTAATAGGTTATACCGCTATTACCATTTTTGTAAATTTCCAAAGCTGTTATTTCCTTTTTAGGAGAAAGGAAGAAAAGGATTTGGATCACCACAATTTTGTAATGCTTATAGTATGTGCTCTAACACTTTCCGTTTAGCATGTAAGTGCAGTGTGGAGTCTCAACAAATAAAATGTCAGTTTGGAGGAATGGAAGTTTTTAGATGAAAAAAATAATAAGCCTGCAGAATCTGGAACTGAATTGTTTGTAGTGGAACTCATTTTATATGAGTCAGCCTTAAGTAATATTTTCAAAATGCTGCAGGACTTCACAAAAACATTTAAATAATTATTACTGGAGATTTGAGTCAATATCATATTTTTTAATTCACTATATAGAGGCTAACAGGCTATATATTCACCATCTAGAGATGTGGAAAACATCATGTATGAACATTATACCTCCCTATAATTAAGTGGCTTGCTGTGTGATGCTCATGGAATAGCCTTTGCCCTTAATGGTGATTTCTTTACCTTCTGCCACAGGTAGTCAATTAAAATGAACTAGCCTTCATTTCATCTTGACAGTATTATTTAATTTAAACTATGAGTGATCAATGTAAAAACTCAGTACTCGTTTTATGTCGCAATGTGAAACGTTCCACAAACACTTTTTCAGGGGCTGTATGCTCCTATGGGCCAGGTATCCTACTTTTGATTTTGGGCAGCCAAATCTCTTGGTTCTTAGGGTAAACATCTGCATACCAGATCTGTTCACAGGACTAAGAGTTGTTTTAGATAATGTCTATTAGGTTTTAGTGACTTGAGGTTTTTTGTGGGTTTTTTTGTTTTGTTTTTTTTTTTTTTAAATGTGGATTAAAACCAAACAGATTAGTAGAAGTTTCCATTTATGCAGAAGTGTATAGAAGTTATAAAAAAGACAGCTTTAAGAAGAGACACTGCAGAAAGGATATTACTGATGTGTGAAGAGGTAAAATAGCAACACTGTAACCTGACAATATTTGATGGCTAGATATCACCCACTATAAAGTGATATACTTGCAATGGGCTCTGCTTTCAGATTCTTTCACTAGAACCTACCAAAATTCGTGACCATCTCCAGCCATGAAAATATGAATTAACAGAAAGGGGCTTGGAATCAAATAAAAGGAATATTTCTGTTCATGTATCAGAAGCCAAAGGAAACTAGATGAGAACAGGTTTTGGTTGCATTTCCTATCAAAGAAAAAATAAATAAATAGGGAATAAGAAGAAAATTAATTTTGAGGAAAACAAATTGGGATGGCTTACTTACGAGCATAGTTGCTGTAACGGTGAAATAACAATATGTCCTGACATTATCATGTACAAAGCATATTCGTGACCAGTCTTGCACTTAGATGTCTTAGGTGAATTTATTATTTTGTGTAGTCCTTGGAAATTAGCAAGGCTATGTTCACATGCTGTTTAATGACTTCTGAGAGCTACAGAAAAATACCCCAACATCCCCAAAACACAAAATGGAGCCAGAAAGAAGAAATCACTCACCCATTTTCCTACTCTTTGCTGCAGAAGTCATACCCCCATTTGCTGGGCTTTAGTCCATTCCTACTCTCTCAAACAGGTTTATGAGGTGAGTGCATAATCAGTCACAATAATAGCACAAGGAAAGCATACAATATGATGCTGAAGGAACAGTATTAAATATCAGAGTGGAGAGATGGTTAAAAATCTTATTAAAGGGAAGACCCATTGGTTTATATGTTCGCCTTGGAAGGCATGTGATTCTGCATCTTGACTGCAATTTATGTAGCTAATTTAGAGGCTGAGAGACCTGGGGCTTTTTAGTCTGGAGAAGAGAAGACTTAGGGGGGATCTAATTAATGTGTATAAATATATGCAGGCTGGGTGTCAGGAAGGAAAGTGCAACCTCTTCTCACTTATGCCCTTTGATAGGACACGGGGTAATGGTCACAAGCTGGAGCACAAGAAGTTCCACCTCAACATGAGGAAGAACTTCATTACTGTAAGGGTTCCAGAGCACTGGAACAGGCTCCCCAGGGAGGCTGTGGAGTCTCCTGCCTTGGAGACTTTTAAGACCTGTCTGGATGTGTTCCTGTGTGACCTGCCCTAGACTAGATGGTCCTGCTCTGGCAGGGGGGTTAGACTTGCTGATCTCTGGAGGTCCCTTCCAACCCCTAACATTCTGTGATTCTGTGACTCTGTAATTTAAAACAGTCATCAAGACAGGAACTAAATGAATGAAAACATCTCAGCTTTTACCCTATGTTAATTGCAAAATATCATCATGTTTCCTAATAAGTGTTTTTCTACAAGTTATAAAGATATGCAGACTTTGTACTTCTGTTAGTAGAATGAGAAAAAAGATATGTACAGGACCTACAGAAACCAATGTAATAATCAACTGGTACATAAATATAACTGTGCCCAAAAGATTAAGCCTGCACTATCCTGTATTTGCAGACAGTGTACGATTCTTTGTGGTGCGAATGTAAAACTACATCTTTTATTGAAAGATCAAACTGTGTATAAATCTGTTATAATACTGAACTTGTCCTTTAAAAAAATCTTTAATCACAGAGAACACAACCAGCCCCTTGCCCAAGAATTTTTAAATTCTCCTTACAAACATTATGCTTCATTGCTCAGCTTGCAGCTCCTGATTCCACAGGGCAAATCTATTAAAAATCTTTTCTTTATTCCAATGGATCTTTTGTTGATTTCTCCTTCTTGTTGCTCCGTTTGCAGTCAAAGCTACAGCTTAGGTTTTCCTTGGTGAGCTGAGACCAATGAAGTAATGTTCAGATAAGTATCATACTGTGCATGAGAAACTCCATCTGGTCCCCGTTTGCTCACAGGCAGAACAACAACAGCTTTGTCCACTTCTCCATTTCTAGTTCTGATACCATGCACACTTCTGCACCTATTTAGCTTAATTCACTATCATAATTCCACTGCTTCACTTTCAGTTGTTTGCATCATTCAAATAGTAATGTAGTTATGGTCTCTCATCAGCACAATTGCTAAAGTGTAAATGGTTCTCCCATGCCAGGGGCCAGACATGATTGCAGAACATCAAAGAGTGATATTCACTCCCTGTGGGTGGCTTTAGCACTTGGCACTTTGTTTTGAAAGAATTTCTTTGCTAATTGTATTGTTGCAGAAGCACAGAGGTCTGTAATTGTGTAGCATCTTTCTTGTTCTTGGCAAAGGGCACTGAATTCTGCCAAGCCTTCCCCTGCTTCCAGTAACCTGCACTGACATGGAGGCCCAGATGCATCAGCAGCAGATATTGGGGAAGGCCACATCCAGGCTTCTCTTCTTAGGAAGCTGCTAGGTTGCCCAGCCACATCTTGTACCATGACTTTCCATAAACCAAGGCAGTTGATTGCAGACAAGAAAAGTGGATCTGTACCAATAACAATTACAGTGAAATACAATTAAACATACAAGACACTATAAAATAGCTTATGCATACTTTCTAGATGCACATTTCACATTTGTCCCCATCCAACTTTATAAGTAAGAGCTTGTGTCCCATAAAAAGGGAAGACATCCACCATATAGAGAGATAAAGAAAGGTTTTTATGGAAATATTTAGACCCACTTTAAGGAGTTACTGTCTTAGTGCATTATTTTTTGGCATTGCCTGGTGAAAATAACATCGCATCCAAGCCTTAAGATGCATTCTTGAACTACATCCATGGAATAAGAAACAGACAACGTAAAGCTGAGTAGTTCCAGATTCTGAAAAGCAAGAGAAAGCTGTAAGTGAAAAAATGAACAAATGTATAAAGAAAGTTTACAGTACCCACTGAAAAACTGTTCCTGGGATGTGTTTTTGTTAGACAAACATACCTTCAATCACCAAAGAAAACCTCCAGAGCAAATAAGTTCCAAAGCATTGCTGAAGAATCTTTGAACTCAATTTTTAATGTTGCGGGAAAGATAACAATTCAGTGATAATCTTGCATCTTTCATTCTGATCCTTAAACTAAAACTTTTTTTAAGGATATTTTACTGTGGACACAAGATAGTTAAGGAAAAAGGCAGAAAAATGAATGAGTCACTTGGCTGAAGAAGCACTGTAACATTGAGGTCTGAGTGCTATTTGTTAGCTCATGTCTAGCAGTATAAAATAAGTTGGAAAACAGAAGTCTGTTTGTAATTTCTTTTACAATCTAAAGTTTTCCCTCTAAAATACAAAAGTTCCTGGTATAAGGCTGTGGCTAGTGGTCTCAACTTTCTCAGGTTTGTGAAAGACTGATCATTCTCTCATCCCACAGGAATAACAGCTGGGTTGTCCTTGTACAAAATGTGGTATCCACCTGCACTTCATTAGAGAGCTGCTTTTTTATACATGCCACACCACAAGATTACCATGATGACATAGCAGCTTCAGAGTACAGCGTGACTAGGGCTTTTTTTTTTTTTTTTTTTCTCTTGTAACACAGAGGATCTGGCAGACTTTTGCCTCCTGACACTGTTTACAGCATATATTGGTTGATACAGTCCCTTATCGCATCTGCTCTGGGAATTAAGGAAAGCAGCTACAAGGCAGTAAGGTAAGTGCTGCTGCATGTTTTAACTCTAATGCTCAGCTATTTAAATGTAGCTGTAATGGGAACATGAAAACATGTCAAGATAAGTTTGCCAATTTGTAAACTGAACACAAATCAACAGTTGCTTAGTGGATTCACCTTCTCAGTTTCCTTAAAACAACTTCATATATTTTGTGCATCAGTGTTGCACTTTTTTACAGAATTTTTTCCTACTTAAAAAAAAAAAAAAAGTTGATGTACAGTACAAAGAAATTTGTAAGACTATTCACTGCTTGCTTATTCATTCATAATCTATTAGTAAGAGCTCCACAGACTCCATTTGTTAAATCATTTTGCAAAAAAGACAAGGTAACTTGATATTTAAATAATTAACCAAGTAAATGAGAGGGTAATTATAGGTATTATGCAATTTGTAGTTAATTTTAAAGCATGTTTAAAATATACTAAATATTAAAACCTAAAAAAAATAAATCTTTTTCAAACTGTGTTAAGATGTTATGCTGCAGAATTAAGGTGTATTTAGTTTAATGTTTATTGAATGATAAGCTTACATACATTTTGTTTCACAACAGCCTGAGAACTAAGGTAATAAAGACTAACTACAAAATAGTTTGAATAGTCTGTTTACCATAGTAAGCATTTTTCCAAAATCATGGACTTGTCATTTAGTATGTTTTGGCAAGTTGCCTGTGCAACTTCACAAATATTTGCAGATATTTTACAACATAACTGGTTACAACAAACACAGGAAATTAGTTCAAGCATGCTTATGTTATTTGATAAATGTCTAAGAATGCATTCTGATTTTATCTTTTTGGTTCATATAGTTCAGTGCAACAAACAAGCATACGTACATGATCTATTTTTACACTTTTGACAGAGAAACATTTAGATACATGAATGAGAAATCCATGAATAAATCAAGTTAACTACACTACTCATGTACTTTACTGTGCCATTTTATGTCACGTACATGCTCATATACCCTTCCACTACATAATTATCACCTACATTTGAAAATGTTGTTGATAAAATAATTCAAAATTCTTGCTATCTAACATTTTACATTATTTGCAGGGCTTTGCAGAGCAGTTAAACATTGTATACCATTTAAAAGAACTGTCACCCTATTAGCAATAATAAAATTTAGCATTACAAATATAATTTAAAGCCAGAAGAACAATAGGATTCGAACTCAAAATGCTTATGTTACTTTATCAGTAAGGCTATAAAATGATGTAGATACATAAAAATGTGACTGTAAGGCCAAAGGGTGTAGTCCAAGAAGTTCATTACACTCTGTCTTATACATTGAATACAGAAGCAGTCAGTCTCTCCTGCTTAAAGTTTAGCACCTTAAAAGAACCAGATTTTGACCTGAATTGTGTCACTGTAGTACCTTTGGCTTTAGCGTAGCTGTACTTACTTACACCAGCAGGGGACGGAAGGTTGAGTTTTCATGTTCTCATGCACTAATGAACAACAGATGAAATTATGCTGATAACTCATTTTAACAATTGCTCTGTCCTATGGTTTGTAATTGAGTAAATGTGATGGGACCAACACCATGGAAAAGATATGCAACTGTCTTCCTTATTCAAGGGAGGACTGAAGCAGAAGGACTTTGTGAGTGATGGACTACAGACAACACGAGAATATTTTTTTTAAAAATCTTCATGCTGTAATTCATGATTTCATAAGCCGTTCCTAGAGGTGTTTTAGTTAAAAATATTAGCTGACTAGAATGGGATGTGACTTTTATCAAGCTAATAAGAGCGAAGAAATTTGTAATTAAGGAAGACTTTCTAGCTATGGCCCTGAATTTTAACACTATGTACTCTGTGTAATATTAAGCAATGCCAATAGGAGGACTAAATTACTCTGCTGGAAAATTGCCCAGTTCTGAGATCAATGTCTGGTGGTCTGCTTACACGCTTCACATACTTTCTGAAATTACTTAAGAACAAGACATTTCTAAGGATTTTCTTAATCCTCTCACTCTCTGAACAGTAGCTGAGTACATCAAGCAGTGTCTTTTGCTGGTGAAAATCAAAGCTCAGCAACTTCAGTGGTGCTAGACCCACTTTTCCATCATGATATTTATCCAGGTAGTAACCAATAAAAGTAAGGTACTAATATGCACAGATTGGCATCTTATGGAGTATCTGGTGAGAAAAGTATGCCCTTAAAAGTTAAGGTGAGACCACTCACACCAAAACATCCCTAAGCACACTGTATGTCCTTTTGCTGTATATGAACTAGAAGACCAACCATATGAAGCTAGTGCTTTATTGTTCCATTGATGTAGAATGGTTATACAATGTTACCACACATTTATTGTTATATATAGAATTTGCAAGGACGTTTGCACGGTCTGGAATTCTGTAATTTCAGATCCCCTGTAGATCCACATTAGATATGCTCATGCATGGATATGCAGTGCAGGTTGTTTGACAAGTCCAGAAGAACATTCTATATGTTTCTATTAGTTTGTTCTTTAGGTGAACATGTAACTTAGTGGACTATACTTTGCTGGACATGATTAATGAGAAGATGATATTCCAAACTACAGGCATCTTATCAACACACTGCCCTCAGTTTTCTGGCTTTTTCAGACTTAAGTCAAATTGCCACATTATTTAGATATGACACAATTAATTATATTAGGAACGCTTTATAGAATTTAAATGACAAAACCACCTCTGAACATGCAAAAACTGAAAACCCCTGTGCCAAATTTAAACTTTGGACTTTATCATCCTACTTGTGACTTAATGAATGTATGCAGGAAGATATAAAGAATGTTTTACTTAAAACAGCAGAAAGGCCTGAATTTTTGCATTACAAAGGCAGATTTTAACAAGACAGGTAGTGTATGTTTATAGTATTAACAATGAAATACTAACAAATTCATTTTTTTTCTTTATTAATAGCTTTAATCAAGAAGCCTAAATGAATTACTTTCTATTTATAATCTTCATGTGCTAAATTTTCAAATATTGCTGAAAGAGACAAAAAATAAGCTTTAATACTCTTTTTATTCTGTTTCACCATACAGGGACAAGACGTGTTACAAAGATGACTTTAAACTCCCTACCTGTCTTTCTATTATTGATTAGTGGTATTTTTTGTATGTATGACTATGGTCCTGCAGATGATTATGGTTATGATCCTTTTGGGCCATCCTCTGCAGTCTGTGCCCCAGAATGTAATTGTCCTTTAAGCTACCCTACTGCCATGTATTGTGACAATCTTAAATTGAAAACCATCCCAATTGTACCAAGTGGAATAAAATACCTTTATCTTCGAAACAATATGATTGAGGGCATTGAAGAGGGTACATTTGATAATGTAACAGACCTACAGTGGCTGATCTTGGATCACAATCACTTGGAAAATTCAAAAATTAAGGGAAGAGTCTTCTCTAAACTAAAGCATCTGAAGAAACTTCACATCAACTACAACAATTTGACTGAAGCTGTTGGACCACTCCCCAAAACTCTGGATGACCTCCAGTTAAGTCACAACAAGATCACAAAAGTCAATCCCGGTGCACTTGAGGGGCTGGTGAATTTGACTGTCATTCACCTCCAGAACAACCAACTGAAAGCAGATTCTATTTCTGGGGCTTTTAAAGGCCTGAATTCACTTTTGTATCTTGACTTAAGCTTCAATCAACTTACAAAGCTACCAACAGGACTGCCTCACTCTTTACTCATGCTGTATTTTGATAACAACCAGATCTCCAATGTTCCTGATGAGTACTTCCAAGGTTTTAAAGCCCTGCAATATTTGCGTTTATCCCACAACAAATTAACAGATTCTGGAATACCAGGCAATGTCTTCAATATCACATCATTGGTGGAGTTGGATCTCTCCTTCAATCAGCTGAAGAGCATTCCAACCGTCAGTGAGAACCTTGAAAACTTCTACCTCCAAGTCAACAAAATTAACAGTGAGTTAAAATTGTATATTGTCATTAATACTTACCACAATCTAAACATTGATGGCAAATGAAAGTATCTGAAAGAGTAGATAACTGGTCTGAAGAAATGGTACTGGTTAGACCGTTAACACACTGACATTTCTCTGTTGTCCACATTAGTATTAAAAGACAGGCATTTATCTGATAACTACTCAAATTAACCTTAAAGAGAGAAATTTCAGGTTTTATACTAATGTGGGTGTTATTGGTCAGATTCTTATCTCATGTAAGTTAGAATAACTCCACAGAAGCCAATGGAATTTTCTTACACAACTCAGGAAAAAACAGTGGGAAAAGTTGAATCAGTGTGGAAGATGTTTAAAATACATAAGTCAGCAAAAAGAGACAGATATCATCTGAGGACCTAACTATGGTATGTGTAACCTTTCATGAGGCTTATAGTGGAAGTGCTGGAATGAGGACAGAGGGAGAAGACAACAGATTCATAATGTATCAGGCACATGCCACAAGATACAACAAAGTAGCTCCTTTTTTCACTTTCCCCCTTCTTTCATGGAGTATCCTTCCAATCCCATCCTGAAATCCAAGGAGCTGCCCCTGTTTTTTTTTTTTTAATTTTCATTCCCACTTCCCATGTTCCATGGTCAGGTGGCAAGTGTGTCTCCATTCAATCAGGATTTGCAAAAATAAACATTCTGAAGACCAGAAATGTCACATCTTGCATGAGTTCATGGAGATATCTACTGAGATAGGGGTTTTATGAGGCTGTTCTACTCCTGGTGTGGGAATGAGGTGTTTTAGAGCTGCAGAGGACTCACCATCATATCAGAAGCTCTCCAGCTGTGTCTCTGTCAGCCGTGATCCCTGACAGAGAGGAAGATCTGTCAGACATAACTGTTTTTGCAGGAGGACTTAGCATCATCTTGCTATCTGGCATAAAGCAAACCATCAACCCCTCTGTTCTGTTGCCTGCTTGTATCCATCAGGGGTTTAGCATATCAGTGCTAGCTATTCCATGCATAGCTAACTCTATACAGATGTAGTGTTTAAATCCAAATATTTTAGTGCAGATTTTACCAGACAGAGGGCAAGACCTTTTGAAATGTTTTGCATTTACTATGCTTCACATTTTCCTCAGGGTTTCCTGAGGATGACAGAGCTCTGGAACAGGCTGCCCAGGGATGTTGTGGAGTCTCCTTCTTTGGAGACATTCAAAACCCACCTGGATACGTTCCTGTGCCATCTACTGTAGGTGGTCCTGCTCTAGCAGGGGGGCTGGACCAGATGATCTTTGAGGTCCCTTCCAACCCCTAACATTCTGTGATTCTGTGTTATGATTTTTTTCCTATATCATCTCAGTTCCGTGTTTCGATGAGGAAAAAGAAAGAGTCAGTGCTTCTGACCTGGCATAGCAAATACACCAACCTGTGGAACTCTTGTTAGATGCTCCTGAAAGAGCTAACATTGATGTTTAATTTCTCATGAGATATATGAGGCAATTTTCCCTGTTTAGAGTGGTTGTTCTGAGCCTTCTTCAGGATACCCAGGTACTGAGTTTACTTTCCATTCATATTTCCAAGGATTTCTGAGTCAAGGACTGCAACAACAATTCAATTTTGCAATGAAAACTCTATTTCTAGAGTACCAGTCAGTCAGCAGCAGAAGGGAATGGTGTGAGGAGTGGTTGTTCACTATGTGTAAAGATGACTGTAAGCAAGGCCAGCTTCCCTTCCATACATGGCCTACGGTACACATATACTGTGTGTGAGAGAGAATTCTATATTGTGGTAATGATAATTCTAAAACGTACAATAGACATAATCTTCCAGATTATGCTTACATAGCTTAAAGTTTTAACTTACACTGAAACCTAACATAAATATATTTCTCCAGAGTTCTTAATTTTTTAGTCTCCCCTTTTCCCAGGTACTTTTAGGCTAGCAATTAACATTTATATTTGTCTAGAAAGAGTAATATGGTTTCAACCCTTTTGATAATATCAGAAATAAAGGAAATATTTCTCTAAATCATTGTCCATGAGCTTCATCCTGGCTTGCTACAGTCATTATACATTGCCATACCTAAAAAGTTACCTGTTTGAGAAATACTCTCATTTGGGCTTTTGAGTTTGGAGCTTTTGGACAAGAGTTGATCAATATAAGCATTAAAAAAAAAATGTAGCGGAATTGACTTCAATACATTCTTTGTTCATCTGTGATGTGAGGAGCAGTGAGCAAAGCAGACAGCAAATTGAAATTAAGACAACTTCAGAGTAATTCCTCTGATCTCAAACTAATAAATTGAAGCACTTCTGTTGCAGTGAATGTAGATTAGATATTGACTGTACAATCTATCTACTGTACTTGATGCTAGTGGATCTCCAAGCTAGCACAGAACCATGGAAAGTTCAGAAAAGCCTTTGATTTCTCCATACCTCAAAACTAAAACTCTAAATTGAAACTTTTTTTTTTTTTTTAAGTAATTCTTATTAGTAGTAATTTAAGGGTGGAATTTTCTGCTAATAACAACCATGGTCTGCATGCTTTAAGATGCCACCATATACATATGTGTGTATATATACATAATTGTTTTGCAGTCTCCTTAAGGGAAAAAGAAACTCTGCAGGATTAAAAACGTACAGAAATCAAAGAGGTTCAGTGATATGAGAAGAGGGTCCAAAGGCAAATTTCTTCATATTTCATTTGTACTCGTAAACGGTTAAGGAGAGAGTTGTTTCTTCCACATAAAACAACAGCAAGAAGATACAATATGAAAGGAGCATAACAAGGGAGAATGTGAAAATGTTCCAGGGGACTATTAAGGGGCCAAATATTCTGCTCCAGTCCATCACCTGGATCAGTATCTGTACTATAATTGTACTTATTCCAGAGTTAGTTGTGAAGGTGTTTTATGGTTTTTTATCTGGCTCACTTCACCAACCTGAAAAGATTTTTTTAAAATCGCCTGTGCAAAAATAACTCACAGGATTACTGTGAACAAGGAATCTTTGCATAGTTAACCTTCTTTTCAGCTAAAGGCTGCTTACATTTCTGATGTACAAGGAATATACTTTCACCCAGTATACAGTAAAAATATAATTCTGTCTAAAAAAAATTTTTATGCCCCCTTTTTCTCATTATGAAGTCAGACACTTCTAGTGAGAAAATAATTGTTTAGATGGAAATCCAATTTTGATGCAATTTTTCTTACTCTCTCAGTGTCTGGCTCATGCAGGAATTCTGTGTTGGGAATATATGAATGCCACACTAGTGGCAAAATTTCTGGTACACTGTATCTGAACCTGAATATTATAAATTCAGGAAGACATTTTGACACCTGCAACATTAATAAATGAAATAAAGAAGAAAGTAAGCTACTAACATGTTTTGTGTAAAAGTGTTCTGGTCTCACTGATTGCGGTTCCCTATACAGATCGTATAGGTAACAGCACATCAGCTAAGACCCACTTATCTTATTTTTTTCTATTGGAGACTACAATTAGAAAAGAAACATTTTCAATATGTTTCTAGCAACTGACAATTATATGAACAGTATAAAAAATTAATACCCACAGGCAATTGGCCAACAGTCTTAAATTTATGTTATTGCAATATGAACTGCCAAATAATTGTGCCCTTAAGGATGCACTTTATCTCCCTGCTTTCTAAAAGAAGGCTATACAATATCCAAAATCTAGGAAATCGTTTTGATTTGTTTTAATCAAATGAGTGATCAATACGTTTTGGGGTGAATGGTGAAATACATTTCCTTAATCCACACTTGAAACAAATTATTTTGTGAAAGATACATAAATCTTTACCCATTCTTCTACATAATATCCCCATGTTCAAAGAATTGCCTAAGCTCTCATGCTTTAAAAAGCTTCCTGTACAGATGGGTGTATATTTATACTGAGTTAACAGGGTTTCATCAGTGATAGCAGATTATTGTAATGACAGTTCTGAAAGAATCCAGTTGAAGTTAGAGTGGAGATATGAATGATACTTTCTTCCAGTTCCTTTAGCATTACAACGTGATGTAAATCATCACATTTTCTTAGATGAGTTAAATAGTCATGGAGAAAAGGTATGTAGCATACTGCTTTCAAAAGTCCCTGAATGATCTATGATTAGTAGTTAAAATGGCATCAGATTTTGAGAACACTACCTTGATTTGTCAGAAATTATGAGAGGTAGTCCTCTGCAACATAAAAGCAATTGAAGATATGGAATTTGTCTGCAGACTGCTGAATGGGTTCATAGAAGGAGTCTGAAATATTTCCTATGCAAATTCAATTGACATCAATATCTTGAAGAACAAACTTCTCAGAATGCTTTTCTAGTAGTGATGGAGCTTTTCAGTAGACTTATCCTTTGACTCAAAGGAAACACAGGTGAGAATGAAAGGCATTGTTTGCAGAATATAGCATTCAGGGAACAATTAGTTTCTCTCTTGAGGAGAGATCTCTTCATGACAGAGGTGTATAATATGTATGCATCAACGACTTGGATAAGGGTACAGAATGTACCTTCAGCAAGT